CAGTGCTCTCTTGTCGTACTCTGAGCAGAAGCATTGACGTGTGTTTTTCTTTACGTGTAAACTTTCATATGCTTTCATTTCATTCGAAATTCAGTGTGCACACGGTGAGTTTATAGTGTTTGTAAGCGGCAGGGTTTAAGCATTCAGCAACTGGTGCCACATGTAACCTCACTCGTCACCCCTGCTATGTTTGTCCATGGCTGCTGGAACATTTCAAGAGTGAGAGGGAGAGAGAGAGAGAGAAAGAGAGGGCTAATATGCTTTTACAGCAGAAAAAAATCAGCAAAACGTTGGATAGAAAGAAGGAAGAAGAGGTGAGAAAGACAGGTGAAGCGATTAATATAAGTGATAGAAGGTGGTTAGGTAGAAAATGCAAGAAAAAAGTAAAGCTTTCTGCTTAAAGTAAAAATAAGAAAGAAAGAAAGAAAAAAAGAAAGAAAGAAAGAAAGAAAGAAAGAAAGAAAGAATTTTGGAGAATGAATCAAGAATAGAGAAAGAAACGAAGAAGAAGAAATGAAAATGCCCCAAAATAAATAAATGAATAAATAGAAAAAAAGGAAATAAAAAAACGAAATTAGGAAGAAAGAAGAAAAAGCTGAGTGGGAGAAAGACACGTGGGCGTAGGTAGTTTACACGGGTCGAGAAAGAAAACGAAAAAGACGTGGAAGGTCAAGAATAGAAGGAAAAAAATTGGGGGATAAAATGAATTAGTAGAAGGCAAGGATAACAGTGAGTGGGAAGAGAAAAAAAACGTAGAGATGAAGAAAACATTTCAAGAAAGAGTTGTAAATGGCGCGATAAAAAATGATAGGTAAAGAAAGAAAAGACAAGTTATAAGTTAATCTTGATAGATAGATAGATAGATAGATAGATAGATAGAACAAATAAACAAACAAACAATAAAACCATGCGCAAATAAATAAATAACAGAGAAACTCATAGAACGGTGTGCTGGATTTTTTAGAAAATTGTTATAGTTGCCCGGTGTAGGTCATATAAGGAAGTGGGGGGGGGTGCAAAGAAAAAGAGAGAAATAAACTAAAAGAAAAAGAAAAGATGTGTGTGTGTGTGAGAGAGAGAGAGAGAGAGGGTTTTTTTTTGTTATTCAGGAACTTGAAAGAACCAAGACCGTTTTTAACTCTTTTTAACTTCTCTGTCGTCATAGAGTGTGCGCGCCCAAGTGAGTTATTTGTAAACTCGTATACATAGGTGCGTGTATCTATCTCCCTGAGGCCAATCGGAGTGGCGAGAGAGTCAGGGACGACGAGGCCCTACCAGCCGACTACCTACCTTCCCCAGAACTAAAATTTAAAACACGAACGGAGTAACTTTTCTAACACGCAAGCTATGGAAACTTTATGGCTGTCCCGGCCCTGTGCCGATGTACCCTGGGGTTTTCGTCTCCAAGGTGGAGCTGATTTTGCTACGCCTTTATCAATTCAACGAGTGAGTAAAAAAAAAAATCGTTTTCACACAAATAACCATTTATATTGCCATCATTTACTTTTTACTCAACTAATGCCAATAATAATAATATCCCTCCACATCTTATCAAGACACGTTTTCACTTACTACACTAATCTCAAATGAGCTTATACGACAAGGATTTATTGTGGCACTACGATCTTATTTTCTTCCATAACTCTTTTCTTTTATAGTTTTCTACCTTTATTTTGTTTTGACTTTTTAGCATTTTAAATATTTATTCGGTTAATTCTTTGTAAAATAATCATTGTAAATTACATTTATTCTTAAACGATTGATACGGTGATTTAAAATAAATTTTATTTTATTGATGTGGTTATAATTTTATTTTTTAACTTTAGCCTTATCAGAATTTATGCAATAGAAATATGGTAAAATCGTAAAAGTTATATCCTCTTCAAAAAAGCCCGTTTTTCTTTCATTTTTTCCATATACACCGAACGAAAATAGGAATTTAGTTCCTACAGACATTTTCATCGTCATTGCTCTTAGTAAGAAGATGTTTTTTGTGAATATTTTCGGCGTGTGAATAGGCATAGTTGTCGGGTTTAGTAATTTATTGATTTAATTTAGGTAAATAAAATTAATATAGATTTATTTTTCATTAACTTAATCCCACACTTAAGCAACTTTCAGTTTTATTGAAGCATCGCACGAAGCAAATTTTAAAAAAAACCAAACTTTACTGTTGTTTACATTTTCTTTTCAAATATTTGTAGTTTTTTATTTGTTTTCTTTTTTTTCTTTTTTGTATTAAATGTGGATGCACTTTTCAGTTGAAAGTTTTTTGAAAGAATTTCGGAAATTAATTTAATGCAGGAAAAAAGGTTTTATTGAAGATTTTTTTTAGAAACGGACTGAAACAGAAATGTTAGTCTCTGTCTTTCTGTGGTGGGGGTGGGGGGCATAAAACTAAAGACTTTTGGTTGCTTTGTTTATATTTTCTATTTTGTATTTTTAAAACATTTGGAATAACTTGGTGTGTAGAGCAAACCATTTTCATAAAGGTATTCTGATAATCTTTGGAGATTTTATTGTTTTTGTTGAAGATTATGATGATGATGCATTGAAAAATAAATACTTACAAACTTATGTGTATGTGTGTGTGTGTCTACATACAACAATTATGAAAAAGAGATTTAGAATATAGCCTTACCAGCTGACGTTTGACTGATCTTCATTCTGTGTGAAAGATACTAACTAAATATCTACTTGCTGTTTTTAGGTGTAAGTCAAATACCTGGTCGAGTGCTAAAAAGAATGAAGCCGCTTCTTGAAATGATTGAAAATTCACTCATAGATATAATTATGACTGAGTATGACTCTCTAAGTGTAAACTTTTTTCTCATAAGTATCCTATTCTTATTGTGAGCTTCCGTTCAAAATAAAAAGTCCTTTTTATGTAGATTTGTAGTCCGCGTTAAACATACATCCACATACCCCCCCCCCAAAAAAAAAAAACAGAAGAGAAAGAAGAAATACTGTTTAAGTTTTTGGCCCAACTGGACATTACCAATTTGGAATCTGATAGCTAAACCTGTTTTAATGCCCGGGTTTTCGCTGGATTCTGTATCATCAGTGAAGAAGTTTAATTTCGTCTAACACAGAAATTATTTCCCGATGCAATCAATACAAACTGACATAGCTGGCTCTTATATTTGAAAGACATTTTAACTTAAAGTACACCAGTAAGTGACAAGTCCTTAGCCTAATAGCATTAATAAGAAATAGCATTTTTGCACAATAATTACTTTCAATATAATCTACCTTTTCAATGCAATTATTTCTCAATTAATCATATAGATCGAACATTATACAGTGAAAATTTTAGATCAAAATTCAAATTAACAATTGTTGTGTCATACTGCAAAGTTACTGATCTTCCCTCGTATATATTTTGTTTTTTGTACATTTGTATTTTTTGTACTATTATATTTAGTTGAATTTTGATATGAAATTGTCATTGTAATCATGATTACAGTGTAAATGTTTGAAAGGTTCGATACACAGATACGAAACAGACGTGGTTATAAGATTTTATTTCACTGAAGCCTGAGTTTGTATGGGTATATGAAAATCCCATTTTTCTGCAGAGACAAAATCACTCAGGAACACACGTATTATTAGGATTTCAATGGGTGCAGATGCGTAACTGCAAGCGTGTGTGCATTAGTGTGCATATAGGCGAATCTTGGAGTTGTATTTCCTTTCAGATAACGAGTGTCTGACGAAAGGAAAATAAACGTTAGGTTTTCATCTGGGGTAATTTCTTCTTTCGAGGTCATAGTTTGAGGAGTTAATTCTTCAGTTATTTCTTTTGATTTGTAGCAAAGTGTGAGATTTATTTGGGGAAAGAGGGTATTATAAAGATCGCTAAGAGCATCACTGTTAAAAAAAAATGACATAGCTCCCATAAAAATAATAAAAGAAACAAACAGAGAATTCTTTTACGCTAAAAACCATCTTGTTTTGAATTTAGTCATTGTGATCAGTTAAAAAAATCAAATTAAGAAAGAGGAAAAGTTAAATCCAATGATTATTCAATTAAGCTGTTTTCATCAATAAATCTAATTATTACCCACTTTTCTGGCCGCAAAACCGTGACATCCATAAAGTACAATAATAATCAAAATTCTCTGGAAAATAAAGTAATCGAAATATATATTTTATTCATTTTATTGCAGCTGTGCTAGGAAACAAGAAAGTAGAAATAAATCGAGATTTTTGCATAAAAACGTCCACAGTTGATATTCTTTGTTGCTATAACAATAACATTATCATCACTAATCAATATTACAAATATTTTTTAGCTGTTATCATTTGATGTCATTTTTATGAGCGATGTTTGTAACAGTTGCTTTCAATTTTATAAGTGATCAGTTTTGCTATTATAATTGTTACAGCAGTCATCAATGTATACTTAGTATCTTACAAATTGTTACAATTAAAAATACTAATGTAAAAATTACTTTTTAAGTTGCTTGTAATTTTGCCGTTAACGACATTATTACTTTTCAAAATAATTTTTAATATTAATTTTATATGACAGAAATTATCTTACGAATATTCACACATTTCCTTTTGTGTAGGCTTTACGTCAAAGTGTTTTTACGTTCTCACTTGAATATTTGCCATACGTTTGCTCATTTTTTTCTGAAAGTTTGATGTTTGTATATTATTATTACACTTCTGAATTGAAGATATATTTATTATTTATGCGGTCTTTTTTTCATGATTTGTACATAAAAAATATACTGTCAACGAATTGTTAGATAATTGATCTCAATGTAATGAAATATATGTATTGACAAATTGGCAAAATTTGTTAATCGAAAAGGTGTTCTTGCTGTCATCACTATAGAAAACAAATTTGTCGTAGTCTGATTTGGTGTCATTACTAAACAATCACTTCTCAGCTCGGGTCTCGTCAAGAAAAATAACTTCTTTCATTTCTTTATTCGATACCTCAGTCTAGTCCTGACTTTAGTTAAATAATTTTAAAAGGTATCAGAAATATGTTTTATATTTTCATATCTATCTATCTATCTATCTATCTATCTATCTATCTATCTATCTATCTATCTCAAGAATTTCTTAGACTAGAGAGTTACAAGTTTAAGTCCGGAGCCAGTCCTTGATGTTTGAACTCGATTCCTGGATTACATTCTTGCTACGCATTCTTCCCATCTCTTTAGCAATCACATAAACCGGATGTTGTCATTATCTATCTAAAATGCGAACACAGACATGCAATCGTTTGATAATAAATTTTTTGAATGAATGTTTTATTATTCACTATAATTAGTTGCTTATTCAGACAAGTACTCTAGTAAGGAGTAAATAGTAACAAGTATTGGTTAAAGAATTAATAATCTTAGATAATTATTTTAGAATCGATTCTATCGTATTTGTTTCTTTCATTCATTAGCAGTAGATCAATAGATTTAAATATATTTTCTGCTATAATATTTTCAAAAAGCTTTAAATATAGTTTGTATAAGAAAGAGAAACTTCGAATTTGTTAGAGAAAATGAAAATTAAAAAATGTTCTTTTCGGCTGTTAACTTTATAAAGCAATGAATTTGAATGCATCAACTTGTGTGCGAATTTGTAAAAGAATATTCACGCATGCGCTCATTTGATCTTAAAGTCATGTGCCGACATTTTGCATCTGTGTTGGTGGTCACTGGTAGCAGGTTTGAACAAATAATTTCGCGTACCGAATTTCAGGGTTTGTACACTTAAGAATTCTGCTGCTGCTGAATAAAATTGAGACTAACAGAAAAGGTTTGTGTTTATTTAACCTTTAATATGTTTTGGCTACAAAATAACGACAGATGAAAATTGTCAAAATAACCGAGAATGGAATGATAGCCAAAGATTCTTTTATTGTTGACAGATCAATAGTTAAGTTATTGAAAAGTCCCCAATTTGCAAATCGTTTTTAAAAATGTGGCTAATTTTCATTTCCGTATTTTTTTTTTTTTTTTACAGTGATTTACTTCGGACCATTTAGTTAACTGATATACTGCAACCAATTCTGCCCAAATAGATTTTCCTTTTTATGCATCGGCAGTTGGGTATAATCTTTGATATCCTGATTTTTTCTTTCTTAAAATCTGATATACTGTAATTGTTACTCATATCAATGTGGACGGTCATACACTTACACGTGCACATACACACATGCACAACGTTTTAACAGATCGCATTGGTTTATTTGCAAGAACGTCATGGAATAATCACTTACTAATGTGTCTGGCTCTTAATTATGACATCCTAAGAACTGCTTGAAGATATAAGATAAAGCGAAGACAACGTCTTCTGCGTGCCGTGTCCCTTCAAGACATTGGCGATTTCCTGTCCTTTGTAGCCCTTAATAAATTTGTCGTTTTGTTATCTCTCCTAAACCTTGTTTCGACGTCGATTTACTCAAACTCGCTAAGTAGGTTATGCTTTGTATTCCTCACATGGACATTCTTCAGGACGTAGGCGATCATGGCTCTCCACTATTCCCTGTCCTTTGTAGCTCTTAATAAATTTTCTCTTTTTGTTATCTCCCCTAAACCTTGTTCCAACATTCATTTCGGTATGTAGGTTATGCGTTGTTTTCTTCTGCACTTCTTGTTTTTAATCTGTCCTGTGAGTATCAAATTTTCTAAGCCCTCTTTCCTTATTATGTACCCTAGAAATTTCAATTGTCGCTTCCTGAAGTTAAGTATAAATGTCCGTTTTGTTTCCATTTTCTCTAAAACTTCGTCGTTGTCCCCATGTTCGGCATCCTTCTGTAGAACCACATGTCTGTTGTTTCAAGTCTCTTCTTCATCTATGAGAAGATTGTCCAGTATTCACTGCCCTATTGGAGGACTGATATTATGTAACAGTTCAGTACTATTTTCTTTGTTTCCAACCAAATTTTTTGTTTCTTAATACTTTTCTTAATTTTTAGAAGGCATCTTTCGCTATACCACTGCCACTTTGGATTTCAGTGTCACACTTTTGTCCCTTTTAAAACACTTCGTAGATATTTAAATTGTTGTACTTGTTTGATTTGTAATTTACATTCAGATATCATTGTATGCAGCATTTTATTAAATATCTTGTGAATGACTTTGAAGTAATCTTTGATGTTGTCAGTTAATGCAAGTAACTTTAAAGGATTAATTCTTAAAGAAAGATCAATAAAATAACCTAAAGGTGAGTCCATGTTACTTGTATTATTTACATTATTCGGACTGTTATCTTCATCTTCATTGCCATGTTCACAACGTTTCGGTCGTTGTACACTCCAGCCTTCTTCAGATGACTGGAATTTCGAACCGAACCCCTTATTTCGTCCACCGGGGTAGATTGTCCTCTATCCACTGGGCCATGTGTCCTAAGACACAACTCTTTGGATCTAGTCACTGGATCTAACCAACGTCTTTATCCATTATCCTTGAAGACTAGACCAAAAGAGTTGTCAGTTCAATACCAGGCCACAGCTGTAGTGAACCAAAACTTACAGAGTTGAGTTAAAGGAAAATAACTGAGACATCCGCAAGAGGCGTGGCACGTGGAACTAGAAAAATCTACTCCGGTGAACGAAATAAAGGGTTCGGTTCGAAATTCCAATCACGTGAAGAAGGCTGGAGCGTATAACGACCGAAACGTTGTGAACATGGCAATGAATATGAGGATAACAGTACGAATAATGTAAATAATGCAAGTAATCATAATACCTCATTTCAGAGATATAGAGGCCGAAACATTGTGAATATGGCAATGAAGATGAGGATAGCAGTACAGATAATGTAAATAATGCAAGTAATCATAATACCTCATTTCAGAGATATAGAGGCCGAAACATTGTGAATATGGCAATCAAGATGAGGATAGCAGTACAGATAATGTAAATAATGCACGTAATCATAATACCTCATTTCAGAGATATAGAGGCCGAAACATTGTGAATATGGCAATGAAGACGAGGATAGCAGTACAGATAATGTAAATAATGCAAGTAATCATAATACCTCATTTAAGAAATATAGACAGATATTAGAAGAACGAAAATAAAACAGGATTTAATTTTAGCTGATTTGACTGACATCGACATTCGTGTCTAGTGGTTTCTTAGGCATTATTGAATTTTCAAAGTTATGCCTCATAAATTAAGGAAGAATGTTGTGAAGAATGTTTGTTTTCCCTGCGTGTTGAACTTGTCACCAAAATGAGATATAGCGTCATCAACAAAGTTAAAAATGTTCGTATGTCTTTGAAAAATGCAAATATCTATTCGTTTTGCAGTCCTCACAAGTATCTTTTTTATCTTTATTGATGGCGTTTGCACAAAGTTGGATCAATAAATTTATAACCTGACATATTATTATTAGTTGCATTTTGACATGCAATTTTCACTCTTTATTTTCAATCTATGTAACTAATATCTACCACTAAATTAATTGCATTGATAAAAAATATTTCTTAAATATTTATCGTGTAAAAAATGCTTTTCTGTCATCAAGTTGTGGCTATTTATTTACCTTCATAATGTGTCTTGAAAATGTTTTCAAGCTTTTCAGTGTACAAGAAGAACGTATTCGTCTGATCTGGTTATCTAGTTTGTAATTCATGCTATTGTAAAATTACACTTTAGGCTTTTATATTAACTCTGCAGTTTATATTACTTAGAAAGCATAAATAAATAATTGATGTACCTGTAAAAAAAAAGAAAAAAAAAAAAAGGAAAGTAAACTTGACTATTTTATTTCTGGATTCATTGTCAATAAGTTAACTTTAAAATCCCCATTCACATCAAATAAATAATATGTGAAGTATGACCACTCTAATAGGCAAACCTATTCTAGTAGTGACTCGTAACTTTGTGCAATTTTGTCCTCCCAGTTTCACTCAAAAGATTTGTGTCGCACGCTGCAATTGTACCTCGACAAGATCAACAATATCGTCACCTCCTTGATAAATCGACAATGATGAGATCTGATCTCGGGTCTCAATAGTTGAAACGCTTACGTTTTAACTATACAGCCATGCACACATTCACGTTTTGGTCACACGCAATAGCACACTTGCTGGCGTAACTCCCAACTCAAGAAAACCCCGACTAATGGGTGCATCATTATTAACATTTATTTGCCGAATCACATCACGCCTCACGTCCATTTGACTTTCCATAACAGAGCCAATGCAAATTATTTCTCATACGACAAATATGCTGGTAACTATTGCTGTATTATCTACATATCAGTCATTCATTGAAACGTGGGTACACACTTCGATTTTAAATCTCTCCTCCACCCAGCTTACGGCCTCATCACGTTGAAACACCGGTTCCCGTACAATCATCGAAGTTAAGT